GAGAACAAATCTAATGATCCTATCGTTATTGTACTTCACCAAAAAGGGTTGGTTTTTTTGCTTCGATTTCTCCTGCAGAGCACCATCATAAAGCAGCGATTGCATTGTTTGCATTGAACTTGCCCTCTAAATTACACCAGGATGTCCTTATTGTCTTGCCCTAGCGAGTGATTCATGCTTTAAAGAAACGTGTAAAAAAAGGAATGCCCTTTCTGAGGCTTGTTTGATAGTTATATCATATCCGACACATCTTTGTCAAAAAATTTGACTTAAAAATATGACAAGCTAATGAATCATCTTTCAGAGTTATTCATCAGCACGTCGAAAACAGAGCCAACTGAAGGCTAAACTTTCAAATTAATTTGTCCCAGTTTCACAGTGCTGATCCACTATATAAACACTGCACCCATGCCACAACATTTGTGCTACGAAAGAGTGCAGCGAACAAGACAACCATGTTGACAGCTCAACAGTGAGGGTATCAAGAGCATGGCCTTGTGCTACCTAATGACGGTAATAAGCAGAAGATGTAGCATTATCAGTGATAAATGTGTTTGCAAGGTGAAGGATAAGGCCTTGCCAAAGGCGTGGGCAACTGTTTGTGAAAAACGAGATGTGTGCGACCATGCAATATCAGGTTAGTATTTGTTGCAATATGCCGGTTTCGGAGGCAAGTTTAAAGATATTTTAGTGCAAAAGTTTGATGTATTTCCAATACTGCAGGTATCCACAACCAGCCAAGGGAAAAAGAGTAGCAGTATCAACAAGAACACAGACGAGGAGAGTGGTTCTGCTGATCAAATTCCCAGCACTATTCCTTAACAATGACTTGAAGGCACTTTAATGAACATAAGCAAATCACTCTGCCCTACGATCACATACTGGGTCGCGTTGGCTACAGTAAACAGTGCACCCGCCAGCCCAATTTCTGTGCACAAAGCCCTGTTGAATTCAGGACTGGAAGTCACAGCAACGCAGGTAATTAAATTATTTTCTTACTTTTTGATAACCCAAGCATTCCCTTGGCCATGACCAAAGTAGTCCACATTGAGAAATAAAAATAAAGAATCAGAGTAAGCGATTTTTTTTTCTGTTTGTCTTTTGGATAAGCAATGAACTAAATTTGGTTCCCCAAAGCCAAAAAGAGGTTTTGTCCAAAATGGTTTGCTCGAAACGGGACATTCAAAAGCAAACAGGTAATAAATGACCCTCTCTTGATTCATTTAATTCTTTGCTAGCTTTTAGATATTTTCTCTTCTCGGTTGCTTTGAAAGAAAACCTAACAACAACGGTACTTTTTTCTTGTGACACTGCCATTAGCAACTTGAATTTTTTTGACAGGCAACGATTTGTGTCATAACAGAAGTGATTCTACTATAATTTGAACTCAGTTTTCAATTGTTTCTGTATTTTTTCTCATTGAAAAAGTGCTTGGTTTACATGTCCAAACTTACAATCTTGAGATCCGACCCTCCCCTTTAACTGAAAGAAGGGGAAGTCAAAATCTTTTGTACATTGTAAATATTTTAGTATCCGCTCCCCTCAGGGCTTTTCAGGGATAATGTTTAACACTGGTTGGGGGACTTTGCCAAACTCCTTAGGTGCAGTTTACAAGAGATGAACGAATGAGTATAGACCACACAACCAGGCACTACGTGCCCTACTCTTTACGAAGAGTGTGTGGGTTTTTTAACGTCCCACAGATTTATTACATGTGCAAGGGCTTGTGAGACGGAGCCTACGGTTTATTGTCCTTATCCGAGAAGACTAGAAAGTCTAACCATTTGCAGATGTTATTACAAAGGCAGCACTTTCTTCTCAGTTATTTAAAGACCCTGAGTGTTGGTCCGGCCGGGGTTTGAACCCACAACCTCCCACTCAGCTGACTGGCGCTTGATTTTTTAAACCAGTCTGTTTAGGACCAGGGCTCTGTTGTTCAAAACTTGGATAGCAATATCCGTCAGATAGATCACTGTCCACTGGACAAGCATTGCATTATCTACTTAGTGGGTATTTATCTACTGTATCGTGCACTACATATTTTGAACAACTCCAGCCAGGACTTTAGGCCTCTACAATGCTGGGAGTTAAGAGGCAGAATCATGTCTTGTTCATTTACAGCTTTGTTGTTAAAATAAAACGTCAACAAAAAATCACCTGTCTGCCACCACATAATAAATAAATAAGAAAATAAGATAAGGAGAAATAAGATGCTGGTCACTCTCAGCGGTCAAAGGGTTAAGCTCCACAGCAGTTATGTTTCATAATTTGATTAAAATGGAAGGCTTATTCTGTATGTGAGTGTTTCCTGTGACTCTTTCCAAAGTGGTTGTCATCTTTTCGCATGGAAATAATTTTTGTTTAATATGAAATATGGTTGTGCATCATGCATCGCTTTTTGGTTGGAGGCTTAGGGCAACTGAGAAATGGCCTTTATTATGCACATTGTTTGTATTAAAATTAATGTGTTAACCTTTCCAACTGGAACCTGCTTACAGATTGAAGAAATACAAAAGGTATTGTAATTATTTTAAGATTCTTGTAATTTAGAAATCATTGTTGTTGTGTTTAGGATAACAATATCATCACGTTGTCCATGAATGAATGAATGAAGAAGAGTCGTGGATGAGAGGACAACAGATGTGCCCTCTTACAATACATTTGAACATGTGAATGGTAAGCTCGGATGTCAGCATACAAAGGCGCCACTGGCAGCCACTCTCAGTTCATTTGTGAGCTTACTGTACCCACCCATGATGTGAATGATGTGATGAGTGAAGATTGACCACAACACCGGGGTCTACGTCCCTTACTCTTTTCAAACAGTGGTGTGGGTTCTTTTACGTCCCACAAGAACCAGATAAGTGTAGGTGCTGTTAGACGGGACCTACGGTTTTTCGTCCTTATCCAAGAACACTAGAAAGTCAAACTGTTTGCAGATGTCATTACAAAGGAAGCACTTTCTTCTCAGTTATTTAAAGACCCTGAGTGTTGGTCCAGCCAGGGTTCGAACTCGTGACCTCCCGTTATGTGCATAATGTTCAATATAATCTGCACAACCCAAAATCTGTTTTAAAGGAAAAAACTTAGAGAAAATAACCCAAGGAGCACTGTTCAACAGATTGAAACCTTGAAGATACGTGCAATAAATTTGGAGTTAGGTGAGGATAACCATCCAGTTTATGAAACTTTGAATTCTTACAAAAACTAGTTATTACTGCGCTTTTCACAAAGATGCAAATTGTGAAGTTCAAAAACCAACTAACAATTGCATTTTTCGCTGCCGTCAATCATCTTAGCGGACCTCTTAGGAAACAAAACTTTACTTTAACGGGTTCAAAAGGTCATGGTTTCTGATTGGTGGATTTCGATCCGTTTTGTGTGTTCTGTGTTTCAAGGTTCATTGCTTGTGATCGTAATTATGATTGACAGCAGTGAAAAATGCAATCACAAAGGTGGCTTTTGAACTTAAGACTTTGCATGTTTGTGAAAAGCACAGTAAGAATGGTGCCATTTTCAAAACTATAAGAAGCTAGAACAACAAAACAACTGAAAGACATTAAATTAAGAATGGTTATTTTTTAGCACTGTTACATTTTGTTAAAACAGATGTTATGGGCTTTCCTGATTTTTTGCTTATTGGTGACATTCTAATGCCACTACTAATTGTATGTAATGTATTGCTTTAAAATTCATCTGAATTAAATTCGACATCTAAATTAGACCTGAGATGCCTTGAAAAATCGCTTTCCACTCAACTAGCCTCGATTAGCCTTGTTTCACATAGTAGCAGCAATTGAGAAAACGTGTTCTGTTGTGGCATTTAAGTGTGTTTGGAGAGTACACAATGAAGAAATTCAACAACCCTGGAATTTGATCTGTGAAAAGCGAGATGAATGTGATTTGGAATTGTTAAAAGTGAGCGAGGTTTGCTTCTTATTTTCGGCAATAAGCACCTCAAAGCTTGACAGCAAAAAGGAAAAATCAAGAACATCAGATGAAAGAAGAGAAACCAACACGTTGAATGAGGAATTTGCCATAAATCCGTCGCAACTTTCAACGCCTGGAAAGCAAGTTTTCCCAGCAATTTCGTATTGGGTCGCTTGCCAGACTCAAAATGGTTCAGCTGTAAATCTGATGAAAATACAAAATGCTCTTTGGAAATCCGGCCTCAAGTGCTATCTTTCCAGGGCATCAAGGAAAAAAATTCTCACAACCTTAACCAACTCTGCCAAGTTATAAAAGATCACAAGAATCCTTGCCTGATGAATTTTATGGAGGCTTCTCATCAGCATTGTCTCAGGTCACGAAGGAGTCCACCCTTATTCCCTAACTGTCTTGACTCAAATAAGAAGTCTTGACGCATAAGAATATGCAAGGGTGCACGTGGCTAATTATGTGCGATTTAGACCATCTGGCATTTTCAACACGAAAAAGCGTTTGATGCGCTAGTCAAAAATTTATTCTGAAATAGTAAACTTGGCTGTTTTTTTTGTTTCTTCATTGACAGCACCCTTCAAGACGAAATAGACATAAGTGATGAAAAACAGTGTCAAGAAATGTTGTCAACAGAAAATGTGGTTTGGGTGCGAGTGCTTAAGGAAGAATTCAAACCGATGACTACATCTGCCCGAGAATTGCACAACACTACTTTGAAATTCCATTGATTTGGTCTCCACAGAAATGAAAGTAGCATCTCGAGAATAGAAATACCGTGGGCACCACACAAGCCATTGTCCTGCCCACTAACAGTTCTCTGTAATGACATCCATCCCACTTTTCTTGGAAATACCACGAAACACTGTTAGGCTCATTGTGTGATGTTCACATTTCATAAAAAATATCATATTAACTGTCTCTTCCCTCCAGCCACTAAGAGTTGAAAACACGCAAATTTCGATATTATATGCATAATTCTTAGCAAAATGAATATTATTAGCAAATTCCCTGCAAAACTTTTGTTTATCGCTGGTTGTTTTACACATTACAAATTTTTGCCTGTTGGTCCGATTTGTAGTGCTGGAAGAAAACTATTTCAGTTGATTAGACACCGTGTCCTTTGGCAATAGTGAATTTGAGCCTGTCTTGCAAAGAGGGACACAAGGTAAGGCGATATTTGACACGGCTGGCACAACATGCTCATCAGGCACTGCGGCAACAAGAGATGATGAAGACGAAGATGCCAGTAATCAAAAAAGCTGTGATTTCTCTCCAAGTGAAGGCCCTGATATTTCCTCACAAAAGCTATTCACCTGCCCTGAAGAAGGGTGTACAAAGTCTTTTGTCAGGTGCTCTTCACTGGAAAAACACTGTGAATACAGCGCACATGTCAGAGCTCTACAAGACAAGACGGAATTAAGTTATGCGTAGCATTTGGAAGAAGGCCAAACTAAACCTCTTTCCAGTGTTACTGTAGTTGGTAGTCCTTGCTTGTCCTTTTGGGACATGGGCTGGGCATTAAAATGAAAGCCAAAGGCAACTAGGTTTAGTGAAAAGCAAAACTCTTTCCTTGAAAGAATATTTTTACAAGGAGAGAAATCAGGAAAGAAGGAAAATAGGGAAACAGTAGCTAAAGAAATGAGGAAAGCTCAAGATCCAAACAATCGGCAACTATTTAAATTGGAGGAAATTTTTACACCACAGCAAATCTCCTCTTACTTTTCTTGCTTTGCAGCGAGACGAAAGCAGCTTCCTGAGCCTGATTATGAAGCTGCAGAAAACGAACATGTTCTACAAGAAGTTAGAGAAGATATCATGCTTTCCTTAGAGCAAGATGTAAATAGGTACAAGCACCCAATTATACATGGAGAGTTTCAATTATGCAACATGCCAGAAGATGAATTGTCCTTGTTGCGAATGGCAACACTTAAACCCATATGTAAAGAATATGGCATTGATGTTTCAGGAAGGAACCATATGTTAAGGAATTGTTTCTTTTGTGGACAGTTGTACCTGTAAGTCGTACAGTTGAACTTTGTAAAAAAAATTCAGGTTACCTTATTATAGGAAATTAATGCTTTATGAAATCAACGCGAATTTCCAAAAATCGCGTTAATTTAGCTAACGTAAATTTCCGCGCCATGAATTAAGTGTAGAGTTAATTTCCGCGACCGTTATTTATTTCCATTATTTTAACCCCAATTTCTGAATGCGCACCTTCTGGAATTCTTGACACCTAAGAAAGAGGAGAATTTTATAAGGGTGGAGTTACGCCAGTAACAGTGAAACAGTTCAGAACTTGAAGTGGCCATAGGCAGACTGTTTCTCTGCTCCCTTCGTAGACTTTGTACATTTACAGAAAGAAACAATAACCAAGAACCAAGTATCTATTTCGGATTGTTTCCTGTTTTCTCACCAAATTTTGTTTCTTTGTGAACATTGAGTCATTTTGAAATGTTACTCTCTTTTTCACATTAATTTCCTTCATTCAAAAGTTCAGTTGCATTATGTGAAGAAACCCGCTTTTGTGTTGCCATTTCTGATAGACATAAGAATTGAAACAAAAACCGTATTACACTGACGAAAGGATAAGAACACATTGTGTAGCCCAATCATAAGTGCATAGACCTTCAGTCAAAACCACTGACCAATAACGTGTTTGATTTTCACTCAACCAAAGGCTGAATTAGAAGTGAGTTTGGCAAGGAGAAAAATGTCTCCGGAATTATGGTTTTTTGCTGCACTGTTCAAAGGAAAAGCATTTTCCATCTTATAAGGCGAATGGTAATATCTTGTGGGGAAATAATTTTTAGTAAATCCAAGGTAACATGTTTGCATATCATTTTGTTCATCTTGGCTTGCTGTAAAACTGAAGCGTCAAGTAAGCCTCCTGGTTCCTACTGCGAATCTGCTGAAATGAGACAGATAAATGAAGATTGACAGCAACACCAAGCACAAGAAAAAGTGTGGGCATCTGGATATGTTGAATGTAAATGCTTGCAGAAGGAGTGGAATCAATCGTGTCAAAGTGGCGAACTGGAAAAAAACCGTAAAGTAAGCTTTATTAGTATCGATTTTTTCCAAAAAAATAACAGCAATAAGTGATTGTTCTTACTTGAAAACGAAATTAGTTGTAATTTTCTCGGAATTTTTTTGGCAAGTAAATAGACTTTAATCTCGCCGAAATATGCCATGAAATGCCATATGCTATGAAAGATTCTGAGAATCATGTTTATTCTAAATATCCGTGAAACCTGTGAAATCCACCTATTTTAGGAAAAAAATATTAGCAAAAAAATCTGTGCTAAGAGTGGATTTCACGTATAAATGTTTTATATTTTGACTTAACCCTATCGCTCGAAGATTTCAAAGCTCATTTCTTTTTTGTCTGTTTCTGAGTGTCAGATGCTATATGAAGACCCCATATCCTCCTCAATTGTTTTGTTAATTCTCATAACCTGTGTGCTTGAGATTGTATTAAAATGATGAAGAGAATTCAAATCAATGCTAGTCCCCCTTAGGAATGGCAGGGTTAGTACTACTCTTTTACAGAGTAGATGAATAAAAGTGTAAACAACATTTATCTATCAATGCAAAGTTAAAATTCAATTGGTGAACTAGCGCATTGTCAGGAAATAGACATTCTTGTTCCTTCCCAAAAAGTACATAAGGCAGATTTAATGGCATTTGCGGACAAAACAAGCCTCCACTAAGCGATTTTCACAAATGAAAACAATTGTCATTGTCAATTTTTTTTTAATGAAATAGTGCAATTAACAAATTTTCACGATTATAGAAGTTCTTTTTGCTTACGAACGATGTTTTTATCTCTTTCACAGGAGTGAGAAATGTAGCATTTTTCTTTGGAGCTATCAGTGAGCAAGGGCCCCAAAAAAGCCCAGGAAAAAAAGTAGCAACTGTCGTAGAATACGAAAGTGACAAAAGCAAAGATGAAGCACTGACATCCGGTCAAGTAGCAAGTAAGGCCAGTCAAAACTGGATTGCTGATTATCTGACGATCATCAATGACAAGTTATTTCCATGGATCAATCATGGATCAGGGGCGTAGCCAGGGGAGGGTTCCAGGGGTTCCGGAACCCCTCCTCTCCTATTTTTAACAGTGATTTTATCCCAGGAAGAGTGTAACGGACTTGATTCCCGAAATTCTTCGTTTTGTTCTACGCTTACAATAAGTACAGTGAACATCATTGTGGTATCCATTTACGTTTCACTTGCATTTTCGGAGACATGAGCAGAGTTGGGATTTCTGTGTAACAAGATGCACGTGTGTGTACAGCAGAAATGCCGGCAAAATTAGTAGACAATCCATTGGTGTTGTTCGAGCTGATGGTTTTCGTAACAATGCAGCGATTGCAAAAGATCGATGCATTCTTTTCACCAAAAAGGTAGGCACAGCTAAAAATTTAGTGATAATGCATAAGGAATTCCAATCAAGACATTTTTCCAGCCCTAACATCGATTATATTGATGAAATTCCAGTCAAAGAACCGAAAAGACAGAACGATGACAAAGCAGCAAAAGAAAAAGCGTCGAACCAGCACCAGCAGAGGAAACAGGACCTCCATCCAACAAGTCAAAGGAGCAAAAGTAAAATAGCATTCTAAATTGTAAAGGAAAAATTTTAGAGTTAAGATCTGGCCCTGGCTTCTCGTTCAGCATTGGCATTTGCTTGGCAACAGTACGACTGTTCGACTCTTTGGTTGTTATAATTATCAACACATTGCATCTGGGAAAGAAATACTCTACACTCTTTGAGAAATACAGGAATATTTCTGTTGCTTATAAATCATGATTTCTGTGTTTTATCCTTTCGCAAATCTAATAATTAGTTCACTAGTATTTATTGAGACTTGTTTTCAAAACCTTTTAATGCTAATGCTAATTCGATTGTTTTGCCGCGAGACAGAAGTGTAAATGGAGTTTGTCACGCTGTAGGCCATTTGACTGCACCCGCCACTTGGCAAAAAAACGTCACGTGCCTATCCCTCAATCGGATCTAGAAGAAAACTCAAATTGTCTTATATAATTTTTAATAACGATTTAAAGAATTTTATAAAATTCACTGTTTTCTTCTTTTTTGCAATTTTGATAAATCCGCTATAATTTGAAAACTCTTTGTTGTTGAAGTGCATCAAATGAAGTAGAAAATGCGGCAGCGTCGCCCGATAGAGAAGAACTCCCTGCAGTTGATTCACAAGGGGAGGAGATAGTAACCGCAGGTCTTATTTTGACTTGAAATGTGCGCTCACAGATAGAACTAGTTATAGTAAGCTGCACTCTATATGCATGACGCTGGTCCATATGTTAGGAAATGATTTGATATCTGCAAGCTTTTGGTGAAGTTTAAATATGAAGGTATTATTTTAATTCCCTTTGAAATTATTGCATTTTTGTAGGAGATGTATTGATGGAGAAGAATGAGGCAGATTGGTGGAAAAACGCCGACATGGCCAAAATTGTAAAGGATCGACCCTCTTTGAGTCGCCAACGAAAGTTTACTTTATTGAAGAGTCATTTTAGACCAGGTGATAACTATGTATTCCTAAAGACCAAACAAAACATTAAGATGAGGTCGTTCCAGGCGTCTTGGCTAAAGACCTACCCTTGGCTGGTGTAGAGCGAGTCTAAAGATGGTTGATATTGTAAGTGTTGTGTTTTGTTTGCGCACTTAGCATCAAATATCACAACAGGTGCTCTTGTGAAGTTACCGATGAAGAAGTGGAATAAAGCGACGGGTATCCTCAACGACCACCAAAAAAAGGAATACCATATAACTGCATCACTAAGAGCTGATGATTTTCTTCAGACAGCTGAGAGGCTGGAAACATCGATCACCTCAGTCATTGACAATGAAGCTGCTAGACATATTGCGAAAAACAGAAAACTTCACCAAGAATAAAGCGAGTGGACTTCAGTTCAGAAGAGAGATCTAGATGTCTACAAGACGTACACTATCAGTAATAATGTCACGGACAATCTCCAGGACAACCAAGACAACATTGAAGACATCTGGACCGAGTGGTTCGATCTGGCGGTCACTACTGCGGCAAATGTAGGTGGTGTGTTTTCCATCCCGTGTCGGACCAGTCAGCAGCACCATTGCGACAATGTACCAGCCCAGACACCATCTGATTACTATAAGAGGGCAGTTGCTATTCCCCTTCTAGACAATCTACAATCAGAGATGAAAACATACTTCAATCCTACTAATGATGCTGTCTTGTCCAGCCTCTTTAATCTTCTTCCTCAGCTGGTAGCTGTCGGAGACAGAAATCCTGACATTGAAGCAGCGCTGGAGTTTTTTGAGAACAACCTTCCTTCTCCTCATGTGGTTGATGTTGAGTTCCTGCGATGGAAGAGAAAGTGGTGCAGCACTGAGGATGCCGACCTTCCCACCGGTTCTAGTTCAGACTCTCGCAGCATGCCATCAAAAGTTCTTTCCTAACATCCACACCTTGATCCGCATTTTGTGCATGTTGCTGATAGTGTCAGCTGAATGTGAGCGCTCATTCAGTACACTAAGAAGGTTAAAAACATACCTGAGGTCGACCATGTCAAGTGAGGGAGAGTCTGGGCTGGCGTTGATGAACATCAATTACCACCGAGACGTAAATATTGAGGAAGTGATAAACACGTTCGCTCAGTGGCAACCAAGGCGTCTTCTCTTTGCGTAGCATAAACCCGAAAGTCTTGTACGTACGTAATGTAAGGATTTTAGACCAACCGTTTTTGTTGGAACCAGTTTGGAACCCCCTCTCCTAGAAATCCTGGCTACGCCCCTGTGGATACCCTTAACCATGGCAAATGGTGCCCTGGCTAACCCCATTGTAATTTACCAAGCGCTCTTGGAATGCAACGTGGACACTGTGGCACAACAGGTATTAATTGTGCATGTTCACTTACACATCTTTTCTCCAACGTATTCATGAACTGATTTACAGCTTATATTTGAGACTTAAGCATTACGGAATCATGCCTGTAGATGCAAACTTTTCTGTCAATCAAATGTGTCCTGTTATTTGTAGGTGGAGATTGGTGAGACATCGTTATTGTTTTGGAGACAATAGAAGAACAAAAGATATCAGAAAGATCAAGTTATGCGGTCAAAGCATGTTGCGTGACTTTAATCAGTTGCAGCATTTCTCATAACTTTCCCACACTAAAACGTTGGAATAAAAATTCTGAAGCCTAACCTATAAACGCGTGATAGCCAAAATAAAAAGGGTGCCCAAAAAGGCAATCATCTGGGAATTCAAAATCGACATTTTTGTCTCCAGCAAAATCCGGTGGATGAACAGTAATTTGCATATAAGTGTAAGTGACGTGAAATAGATGCGAATTGCCGCAGTTGTAAACACAACGTTTCCTCGAATTTTTTTCTTTTTTTTAAAGCGTAAATTCGCATGAAAGAACTCAGCTTGCACAAAATAATATAAAATGAAACAAAACAAATCGAAAAGTAGTAAAAAAAGTCAGGATATTTCAGTTTGATGGGAAGTAAGTGATTGGGTAGGTGATTTGCATACTGAAAAAAACAACTTCTAGCGCAGTTCAAAACCGTTCAACTTCCTGATTGTTTTGTCATTCTATACATTTTGCTAGCCTTAATCGTTAAATATCTTATGAAATCAAAATATTTATCAAGTTGAGCGTTTGCACGTTGCGTGAAAGCATCGATCTGTTGATTTTCTTAAGTTAGATTACCTTTGTATCGTGGAAACAATACGCTAACACTTGAGTCTGGCATCAAAGGATGCGGCATGCGTCGGCTCCCTTTGTGAGTGCACAAATAGTCATGGGACCTGTGATTTTGCGGGCAACATGGATCTACAGGCGCCGTTCCGTAATGGCCTTTTTTCTGTCCTTTTTAATAACTGATCACTAAATACCATTCAAAAAGCAACTTAACAACAAACACGGAGAAAACATCTTGAGAAAACGGACATCCATCACATGGTAAAGTTAAAAAATTCACAGTCATTATTTAATATTTTAAATTCTTCGTTTTGTTCTACGCTTACAATAAGTACAGTGAACATCATTGTGGTATCCATTTACGTTTCACTTGCATTTTCGGAGACATGAGCAGAGTTGGGATTTCTGTGTAACAAGATGCACGTGTGTGTACAGCAGAAATGCCGGCAAAATTAGTAGACAATCCATTGGTGTTGTTCGAGCTGATGGTTTTCGTAACAATGCAGCGATTGCAAAAGATCGATGCATTCTTTTCACCAAAAAGGTAGGCACAGCTAAAAATTTAGTGATAATGCATAAGGAATTCCAATCAAGACATTTTTCCAGCCCTAACATCGATTATATTGATGAAATTCCAGTCAAAGAACCGAAAAGACAGAACGATGACAAAGCAGCAAAAGAAAAAGCGTCGAACCAGCACCAGCAGAGGAAACAGGACCTCCATCCAACAAGTCAAAGGAGCAAAAGTAAAATAGCATTCTAAATTGTAAAGGAAAAATTTTAGAGTTAAGATCTGGCCCTGGCTTCTCGTTCAGCATTGGCATTTGCTTGGCAACAGTACGACTGTTCGACTCTTTGGTTGTTATAATTATCAACACATTGCATCTGGGAAAGAAATACTCTACACTCTTTGAGAAATACAGGAATATTTCTGTTGCTTATAAATCATGATTTCTGTGTTTTATCCTTTCGCAAATCTAATAATTAGTTCACTAGTATTTATTGAGACTTGTTTTCAAAACCTTTTAATGCTAATGCTAATTCGATTGTTTTGCCGCGAGACAGAAGTGTAAATGGAGTTTGTCACGCTGTAGGCCATTTGACTGCACCCGCCACTTGGCAAAAAAACGTCACGTGCCTATCCCTCAATCGGATCTAGAAGAAAACTCAAATTGTCTTATATAATTTTTAATAACGATTTAAAGAATTTTATAAAATTCACTGTTTTCTTCTTTTTTGCAATTTTGATAAATCCGCTATAATTTGAAAACTCTTTGTTGTTGAAGTGCATCAAATGAAGTAGAAAATGCGGCAGCGTCGCCCGATAGAGAAGAACTCCCTGCAGTTGATTCACAAGGGGAGGAGATAGTAACCGCAGGTCTTATTTTGACTTGAAATGTGCGCTCACAGATAGAACTAGTTATAGTAAGCTGCACTCTATATGCATGACGCTGGTCCATATGTTAGGAAATGATTTGATATCTGCAAGCTTTTGGTGAAGTTTAAATATGAAGGTATTATTTTAATTCCCTTTGAAATTATTGCATTTTTGTAGGAGATGTATTGATGGAGAAGAATGAGGCAGATTGGTGGAAAAACGCCGACATGGCCAAAATTGTAAAGGATCGACCCTCTTTGAGTCGCCAACGAAAGTTTACTTTATTGAAGAGTCATTTTAGACCAGGTGATAACTATGTATTCCTAAAGACCAAACAAAACATTAAGATGAGGTCGTTCCAGGCGTCTTGGCTAAAGACCTACCCTTGGCTGGTGTAGAGCGAGTCTAAAGATGGTTGATATTGTAAGTGTTGTGTTTTGTTTGCGCACTTAGCATCAAATATCACAACAGGTGCTCTTGTGAAGTTACCGATGAAGAAGTGGAATAAAGCGACGGGTATCCTCAACGACCACCAAAAAAAGGAATACCATATAACTGCATCACTAAGAGCTGATGATTTTCTTCAGACAGCTGAGAGGCTGGAAACATCGATCACCTCAGTCATTGACAATGAAGCTGCTAGACATATTGCGAAAAACAGAAAACTTCACCAAGAATAAAGCGAGTGGACTTCAGTTCAGAAGAGAGATCTAGATGTCTACAAGACGTACACTATCAGTAATAATGTCACGGACAATCTCCAGGACAACCAAGACAACATTGAAGACATCTGGACCGAGTGGTTCGATCTGGCGGTCACTACTGCGGCAAATGTAGGTGGTGTGTTTTCCATCCCGTGTCGGACCAGTCAGCAGCACCATTGCGACAATGTACCAGCCCAGACACCATCTGATTACTATAAGAGGGCAGTTGCTATTCCCCTTCTAGACAATCTACAATCAGAGATGAAAACATACTTCAATCCTACTAATGATGCTGTCTTGTCCAGCCTCTTTAATCTTCTTCCTCAGCTGGTAGCTGTCGGAGACAGAAATCCTGACATTGAAGCAGCGCTGGAGTTTTTTGAGAACAACCTTCCTTCTCCTCATGTGGTTGATGTTGAGTTCCTGCGATGGAAGAGAAAGTGGTGCAGCACTGAGGATGCCGACCTTCCCACCGGTTCTAGTTCAGACTCTCGCAGCATGCCATCAAAAGTTCTTTCCTAACATCCACACCTTGATCCGCATTTTGTGCATGTTGCTGATAGTGTCAGCTGAATGTGAGCGCTCATTCAGTACACTAAGAAGGTTAAAAACATACCTGAGGTCGACCATGTCAAGTGAGGGAGAGTCTGGGCTGGCGTTGATGAACATCAATTACCACCGAGACGTAAATATTGAGGAAGTGATAAACACGTTCGCTCAGTGGCAACCAAGGCGTCTTCTCTTTGCGTAGCATAAACCCGAAAGTCTTGTACGTACGTAATGTAAGGATTTTAGACCAACCGTTTTTGTTGGAACCAGTTTGGAACCCCCTCTCCTAGAAATCCTGGCTACGCCCCTGTGGATACCCTTAACCATGGCAAATGGTGCCCTGGCTAACCCCATTGTAATTTACCAAGCGCTCTTGGAATGCAACGTGGACACTGTGGCACAACAGGTATTAATTGTGCATGTTCACTTACACATCTTTTCTCCAACGTATTCATGAACTGATTTACAGCTTATATTTGAGACTTAAGCATTACGGAATCATGCCTGTAGATGCAAACTTTTCTGTCAATCAAATGTGTCCTGTTATTTGTAGGTGGAGATTGGTGAGACATCGTTATTGTTTTGGAGACAATAGAAGAACAAAAGATATCAGAAAGATCAAGTTATGCGGTCAAAGCATGTTGCGTGACTTTAATCAGTTGCAGCATTTCTCATAACTTTCCCACACTAAAACGCTGGAATAAAAATTCTGAAGCCTAACCTATAAACGCGTGATAGCCAAAATAAAAGGGGTGCCCAAAAAGGCAATCATCTTGGAATTCAAAATCGACATTTTTGTCTCCAGCAAAATCCGGTGGATGAACAGTAATTTGCATATAAGTGTAAGTGACGTGAAATAGATGCGAATTGCCGCAGTTGTAAACACAACGTTTCCTCGAATTTTTTTCTTTTTTTTAAAGCGTAAATTCGCATGAAAGAACTCAGCTTGCACAAAATAATATAAAATGAAACAAAACAAATCGAAAAGTAGTAAAAAAAGTCAGGATATTTCAGTTTGATGGGAAGTAAGTGATTGGGTAGGTGATTTGCATACTGAAAAAAACAACTTCTAGCGCAGTTCAAAACCGTTCAACTTCCTGATTGTTTTGTCATTCTATACATTTTGCTAGCCTTAATCGTTAAATATCTTATGAAATCAAAATATTTATCAAGTTGAACGTTTGCACGTTGCGTGAAAGCATCGATCTGTTGATTTTCTTAAGTTAGATTACCTTTGTATCGTGGAAACAATACGCTAACACTTGAGTCTGGCATCAAAGGATGCGGCATGCGTCGGCTCCCTTTGTGAGTGCACAAATAGTCATGGGACCTGTGATTTTGCGGGCAACATGGATCTACAGGCGCCGTTCCGTAATGGCCTTTTTTCTGTCCTTTTTAATAACTGATCACTAAATACCATTCAAAAAGCAACTTAACAACAAACACGGAGAAAACATCTTGAGAAAACGGACATCCATCACATGGTAAAGTTAAAAAATTCACAGTCATTATTTAATATTTTCACACATTTTCTAACATAAGACAGGAATAAGCAGACTCATTTTTTTTTAACAGTACCACTGTTCTGTTCTCAGGTACCCTGTTGTGAAGGAAAAGAATTGGCTGCTATGAAAGAACTGTTATTGGAGTATTGAAAGATCAAAAACCAAATGATTCAGGAATTAGTGAATGCTTTATTTTGACATTGCTTCCAAAATGAAATGGACAGGTCGTTGGGCAAAGAAGATTTTATGGACACGCAAGACTGTGAGACAGAGAAGGTGGCTCGAGTTTGGCTCACAAATTCATCCTTCAGCTCCAATTTGAAACGTTCAGTCACCAAGTTTCAGGATGCAAAGTTACAGATTGATATGTTTAGCTTTCACATGGACAACCCACAGAGTGGAGATGAAGAAACACGACTTTCCGATTAACTGACTGTGCTCGTGAACAACATAGGACTGGCATTGAAAATGGAGTATCCACTCTTTCGTGGCCAAAAAATCTACAAGAAAGTTCGCTTTCCCTTACAAATGCGAAGTCCGTGTTTTCATTAATAGCCTTGCAGCCAAGGGGGGATGAAAGGCCTTCCCATGATGCTTTGTTTCGAACTATATTATCACTGTTGACTGTTCACATGGTTTCTTATTTCGATTGTGAAGTCATGGCGGCTATGCAAATATCAGCATCCTCTGTGTGTCCATTTGACGAATTGAAAGTCGTGTATCTTCATTGCATCTATACCCTGCAAGTAGAGGTTTCTCTCTTTCATGGATTTTAGCATTTATGAAGTAGTTTGGTAACCGGTTATGCGACAGACTAGCCACGCAAACGACTTTGTAAATGCTAAAAGCCATGAGGGAAACCTCTCCTTCAGGGTACATTGTATCGACCTCCAAACAAAAGAGTTTTCTCCCATCACCAGGTTTGCTTGTCTGGAAATTTGCTCTGTGCTCGGGCACTTTAGTTTCTCAAGAAATTTGGCTGTATGGTGTCTGCTGCTTTCTTTGAAACAAGGAAGCAGAAGCGAAACTAATGGCTTATTACAGCCCTGTACTACTAAATGTCAAATTGTCCTGTTATTCTACGGTAATTATGTTTCCTTTACTTTGACTTACTTTATAAAATACTCAGTTATTTTTTATAATTTGTCATGAACTAAGATTTTGATGAATGCGACCATTTTAGTTCTTTGATCGGGATGTTGAGTGCGACTACGATTTTCATACACATAAGAAATGAAAGCAAAGGAAGAATGTATGTTTTGTCATGGATTTTGAAGTTGTGAGTGCCTTAATATTTCAACGGCCAAAATTTACCGAACCAGGCAGGGATTTGCAACCATTCCGAGACTGAAAAATACTTCAAGTTATTTCTTTATTAGTAATTTATAATTTATTTTAGTACTTAACTCACTACCCTTTTAGATAATGTGATTTCAATTCAATTACACCTGTCATAATATGATTGTATGTATTACTAAAAGATAAGTCAATAAAGACAAACCAAGTTGCTCTTAGTCTACAATCCTGATGAACATGTGGGAAAATTAACATGTTTTACAAAACTCTTTTGATCAATTAATTTTTCTTGTATGTGAGATGCAGCCTTTTTGTCAGAACCAAGCACTGAACCTGTGGCCCCCACCAACATCTCAAGTCCAAGGTTCGCACCCTCAATGTTAAATCTGAGCCATCTGACTGACTAAAAATACAAAACATACACTCTGTGTATTGTGGGGGTGTGTTTGAGCAACTCCCTGATTTTCATCTTATTCTTCTTTGATTTCTGCTAACTCTCCCAACTTTTATCTTGTTACTCTTCTAACTAGTTCAAGTATAGTGGCGATTTTTATAGCCAAAGCTGGGCATATTTGGGTTAGCTAACAATGGGAATAAAATAAAGGTAAGGGTAATGTTTTGGTATCACTGAACCTACTGGTTGTAATTGGGAAAAAGCTACTAACAATGAAAAACTAAAACGCTGGATAACAAACCCAAACAGGAAGTTTAACGGGACTTAAGAACCAAGGTCAGCTGGGGGACCCCAGATAGGTGAGGTAACATGTGGAAGGTCACCCCACCAACCAAGGTCAGCTGGGGGACCCCAGATAGGTGAGGCAACATGTGGAAGGTCACCCCACCTATCATGTAAACATGACCAAATTAAAATGGGAGATTATATGGACAGGCAGGTTACCTTACCTACCTGGGGTCCCCAACCTCCATGTTGTGCACTTATCAATTGAAACCCCGACCCCCCCCCCCAACCAGGCCTATGTGGGGCAATGTGGGGGATTTTTATGGTATTTGAAGGCATGGTTAGCCCATGGTGGTGGGGAATTTCTCTGGATTTGCTTAGCATATTCATGGAAGTCGGGGAGCGAGGTGGGGATTTGACTCATACCTAGTTTCCTCACGGTAATTGGTTCACGTGATCACTGGTATTTTGATGTATTGCTTGGCCGTACATGCTTTGAAATTATCTGGCTTTGAAAGGTGAGTTTTCTAATTGTTTTTCCTTTCACTTCTTTACTAAGATTAATCCTTTGCGATTTTGCCTTGAGCTTTCATGGTTCGTTGACTGGAAATTGTTACTGTTATTCAAAGCTTCTCAAACAATGCAGATACACGCTCCTCTACTTATTATAAAAGGAACAAAAACGTTCATTAAAACAAAGAAATCATGAACAAAAGTACCGTGTTTAGGTTAAAATTATCCTATTGCTATGGTTTCCTGTGGCTGAACATTTTAATAATGCTGGTCACTCAATCGACGACGCCTTGTTCGGGGAATGATGCTGTCTGTAGATAATGTGCAATGGAAGCTCCTGGAAATGCGACTGATATTTCAACTTGGCACCAGTCAGCCACGCGGTTTAAACTCTGACTTCCGTTTCCTCTATGCCGCACGCAGAGCCGCGCATGCACTACAAAGCTTTTAAATTTTATTTCTAATTTATGGCGTATATCAACCTTGCAACGGTTTCAACGAACTGGTAATTCCACTGATGAAGGGCCAGGCCCGAAACGTTTGGAAAGGATAATTTTAACCTTAACACAGCACTTTTGTTCATGATTTCTTTATTTTTAATGAACATTTTTGTTACTTCTATTTTCTAAAGTGCTACGCCACTTAACGGAAATTCTTTCGTCATTTGTTTATTATAAAAGGTGCTGTTTCACGGCTATCTGCTTCATTTTGTTAATATTGCCAGTTACGTGGTCCCTATTCGGTTTTGAGCGTTACGTTGGCAGTGAAATGAAGAAATCAAAGCTTCCTTTCAAACAGATGTTTCTCCCAAGCATATCAAGCGTTACGAACAAAAATAACGAACTTTGAAAAACTGTTAGGTTAACAAGTTTTCAAAAACCACAATTTCAGTCCGTTTTAATCTTCTTCATGTTTTCCCATTTGTACCTTACCATCTCATATCCAACGTGCCCTCGTAGATTAATTGTTAAATAGTAACA